TTCTTGCAACGAGATGCAATTGCCTTCTCGGTCCTGGGAGCGTCATTCGAGATATCGGGATGCCCGTCTGAAAACAATGGCTCAGGATCTTCCTTTGTAACATACTTGTACGCACTATAGTAAGTATTGTGGTTCGAACTAAAATTGACTTTGAGTCTGTGGACATCATCTAAAATATTTCTTACCATTAACCACCGTCCCCGTCTCTGCAACTTAATTGCCATGTGAAAATGGTAATCACTCGCTTCAATACTTTCACAACTGCTGGCAGTATTTGCATGCTTCTCCATTGCGACAACCCAAAAAGCTAATTTTATTCCACATTTTTCCCAGCTTTCTATGACTGCCTCAGCGAATTTATCTTTAGACGCAATTTTAGTAAAATCAGCTCTGCTGTAAGTTATGAGATAAACAATTTTTGTTGTCGAACACCCAGTGAGGCCATTATATTCGCTCTGCGAATGTGTTCAAATAAGCAGTTCAGTCGTCAAATGTAGTATGTGCAATGTATAACAAGACCCAAAATTACGGCTTAAATACTTTTCAAAATGTTTGCACGCCCATAATGTTGTCAGATTAAGTAAGATTAAAGTTGAAATTCTAAAGAGGATATATGTATGAAATTGCGCACCTTTAATCTGTCATTATCGTTATATTTTATTATTATTATATTATAAATGTTTGTTGTTTATTTACACGCATGTTATTAATACGCCAAACATTATTAAAGGTTCACTAACGATTCAAGGAATAAGGACAATGTTTTGTTATGAAATAAAAATGGAAATGTGAGATAATGCACATTCAGACAATCCTGGTCAGAAATCCTTGGCGCACTTAGTCGAAATAGCTTAACTTTTATTTCATTTCTGATTACCATATACATACTTGTGCATTTTATGCAAAATTTCATGTTCAGACATCCCCCTATCCCCCCAATCAATGTTGTGTAACACCTTGGACGTCTAACACACAACACACAACATTGAACGGGGGAAAGGGGGGTTGCTATGCTTGTTATTGAAATGGGAGTCAAATTTCGCACAGTCAATGTCAAGTGCGCCAAAATTTTTGACCAGGATTGTAGGTCAAAACTTTCATCATCCAAGCAATAAAATGGTAATTCACAAGCACAAGACATTGTTTACATTACACCCAAATTACACTTATTTAGCACACATATACAAACACTATGTTATGGTACATCAAATCTTGATTTAAACTCCTCAAACGTTTCAATCGAAACGAATGCAAACACTTGTGATGACGGGTTATCATTCTTCTTCAAATAGACTTTGCCATATTTTGTCCATACATACTTGTAGTTGTGGAGCGCTTTGAAAGATTTAACTTCGTTCAGGAGATCTTTCGATTTTCGGGTCAGGCTTTCATTAAGATATAACGATGAACCTTGATCATAACCAAGATCAATAGCTTTCTTCGAGTAGAGACCACGCCTCGATTTGTAAATTTTATCCCGAGTATCTCTCCTTGTGAATTTGACTATTATTGGCGGTATTTTACCATGAGACTAGCTTCATTACAATGGCACTAGTATTTTCGTCTTGCGAAAATGGAATGCCTTGAATTTCAAGAGCGTCTCTTCGCGAATACTGACTAAGAGCCTCAATGCCGTCCATGTTTGTCTTCGATTGCCTTTCTAAATTTACAACTCTTGCTCGCAGTTCGTCATTTTTAGCTTGTAGGTCGTTAGTTGTCTTGATCAGGCCATCAAATTTCGCAGTGAGAAATTCTTGGCTTTTCTTTACATTGTTAAGGTCTAGCTTTGTCATTTTGAAGTATTTTTCAAACATATCATTAATTTGCTTGGATTGTTCATCCAACCCTGCAATCAAATAACTTTTCTAACATGCTTTTCAAAGACGCCATGTTTGCTTCCTCAACAATTTACCTTTGACTTCGTCTTGAGCGCTTGGTTGCTCATCCTTTTTCTTTTTTGGTGTTTTGAAATAAATGTACAGATATGTAATATCTAAAAATATACTATAAAGTCAGATCAACTAGAATTGAACATAGAACAAGAGCATCAAAATATACTTCCGCTCTTGCTCACATCCACAATGGGTATGTTTTTATTTCTTTTGTCAATAGCGATCACACCCAACTAAGATCGCACCTGACAACGATCCCACCCGGCCTATTGCACATGACCTCAATGGTTATGATTTTGTTTCTTTTGTCACTAGCGATCACATCCGACTTAGTCAAAATCCATCTCTAACTCTTAAAGTTCCTTTTTGTAAAACCAGAACATTCCAAGCATCCTACTTTAGTAAAACTATGGAACACAACCTGTAAAATACTTCTAGTTTCTCGTGTCTTTCAATTTTCAAATGTTCAATTAAACTCATGTATCATAATTTAAACACTCAAATTTTTGACGTTGATCAACTGTGTACATGGACCCTTATACGTGGTTGCTCCTGCCATAGGACATGAACTTACTTTTTTAGGGGAAATGCCCCGCATGTGACTGGGAGTCCTGTTCCCACTTTTCCCAATTGGGTTCTTTTATTGTTGTTATTTTCAATTAGTGTATCTTTGCCCAATTATTTGTTAGTATACTCTTACTAACAGTGAATTTGTACAAACAGATTATCACAATGCGATTTGGATAGACTAAGCCAATTAAGATTTAATCCTTTTCAAACAAATCAAAATATAGTGCTATCTGCCAATAATATTGAACTTGATACCTGGTTCAACACAAATAGTATATGCTGTGATTATTTCCTACCAAAGGATTTTAGAACGCAAAATGAAACTAAAAATATTGCAAAAAAATTTTCGTTATTACATCTAAACATAAAAAGTATATCAAATAAATTTGACTCTTTCAAAAATTTGATTGATACTTTAGATATACCTTTTCAGATAATAGGACTAAATGAGACTTGGCTGAATGATAACAATATGGATTGTTTTACATTGAATGATTATGGATATTTTGGTTCAAATAGACAGAAAAAAAAGGAGGCGGTGTAGGTTTATATGTTTCAAAACAACTAGAGTTTAAAAGTCAGAATGAATTAGATAAAAATATAGAAGATATAATTGAGACCAAGTTCATTGAAATAATGAATAAGAATGGTAAAAAATATCATTATTGGGGTAATTTATAGACCACCAAGCAGTACGTAATTTTGATTCATATAATCAATCAATCAATGAGATTTTAGAAACTGTTGACAGGGAAAATAAACTCTGTTACTTGATGGGAGATTTTAATATTGACTTATTTAAATCAGAATCTTGTGATTTGCCAATTATTTTACTGAACAATTATTCACATCATCCTTTTTCCCACTTATTATATACATGACAAAATTACTGCAATTTGATTGGTTAAGAGGAGTGCAATTATTTCATTAATGGGCAAGTCGTGCAATTAATGATTAACACTACTCGTGATATTTGAAAAATGTGCCAAATTGCACGAGCCACCGAGGCGGCTCGTGCAATTTTGGCACATTTTTCAAATGTCACTCGTAGTGTTAATCATTAATTGCACTCCTTCCTGTGTGATTACCTATACTAACTAGAAAATACATGCATGCAGAAACCCTCGCCTTGCTGACAAAACCATTTTATTTTCCGAACGCAAAGTATTTCAAGTAGTTGTCATGGTAACACGATAATTTTTTAAGAATATTTTTACAAATGAAAAATCCCCTATAAATATCACTTTTAATTACAAAATTATCAATTTCCCAAACATATATATGTTAGGTATGTTATTATACATAATATAAGCTTCAATTTAAGATAAAATTCAACCACAAATGCTTCGCAAAACGTTTTAAAGTGCTCTTTTTTAATATAGAACTAAACTGCCTTTATCGATAAACTTTGAGTTCGAAATAAAATTATTCCAAATTCTCCTATGCAAATAACTTTGCTTAGTATAATAAAAAGTGTAATCAATAAAGAAACACTGAAATAATACGCTGTCTTGTTTCATATTTATACGCAATGATCGGCTTTTAAAGTAATTACAGTCGAGATTATAGTATATTAAAAGCAAGCAATGCATCAATATTTAAAACAAACTTACCTTCGTTAACGTCGGCACCTTTACTCCCTTCTTTTAGCAATTCTCTTGCCTTTATATCATCAAAAATCTTTTGAAATTTACAAAATCTTGCAAAAATGAAATATATTTGCAAGAAATCATCAAATCAATTACGCTGTCGTCAATCGTCATGCAGCTGTTATAATGCCAATTTTAAATTGGTCCAATCAGTGTTGGCTATTCATAACAGTCCGCTATATTATGAGATCATGGTATAAACTGGTGATTTTATATGCAATATTGCTGCTGAGGTTGAAGGAATAAGCTTTGTCGACGTTTGTTTGATTATGGTAATATCATCTTCTGACAAGTCAGCATCATTGTTGTCATCTATCATGTCAAACTTTCTTTTTCCGTCCATTCTTTTTGTTGTTGATTTAGGGCTAGCTATTGGTTTCTCATTTTCCTGAAATAAAAAAAGGAAAAGCTTCATGCAGTACTTAACTTCCAATACTTCAGTCTTATAAGAGTGCAGAGAAAATGGGTGTCAATGTATCTAAAAGAAGGGATTGATAAAACAAAACCAGACAGAGGTGTGCTAAGTGGGTAGTCGCCTAAAACCCACCATCAATGAGGACAGTTGGTAGGGGCTATGGTCAAAAATGGTTTGAAAAATACAATTGAAAATATATTGCTGGTATGTTAGATAGACCCTGAGTTGAAGTACATTACTGTGGATATAATTATAAAATATTTTTACCTGAGCTATAACTTTGCATATGCGTGACCTCAATAATATTCCTTTCATTCCATCAGCTGGAATAATTTCTCTCAATGCGTCATAACAAAGATCTTTCACATCCTTACTTGTTAGGCCACCAGCTGAAACACATAATTAATAAAGTGTGACTATCCCATGCCCCATGCTTATAAATGGTATTGACAATATTAAATAATTGTGCAGTCACAGAAAATCAGTAAAGACTAGAGTTAAAGATCCAATTACAGTATTGATATCACCACTTTTTCACAAATTTCTAAACCTCTTTCTGTTATGCTGTCATGCCCCCCCCCCCCATAGCTACCCTCTTCCACCATTTACCCCTCCTTACCAGTGCTTCCTCTTTGAAGGAAATTTTTGCAAAATGAAGGAAATAAATTTTGAGGGAAATTTGAAGGAAATTCTAGATGAACAAAGGAAAGTTGAAGGAAAATGCAAAATATCTACAAAATTGGTGATATTTGGAAAATAAAGCGCAAAATAAACTCAATCCGATCACATTTTAGCCGAATGTAGAAACTCTAGAGTTTATATTAAGTTATCTAATGAATATGACCTGGCCCAGATAATTTGAAAGCC